CAAGTTGATAGTAATGAATTACCAGTTTTCCCGATGTTTTGCCTCGCTCTATGCGACACTGCGGTGCCTGTATTTTCTATCCAAAGTACATACAAAACTTTCTTCTCATACAAGTAATATTTACATAAATTTAAACATAACTCTACTAATATATAACCACACAGAAGACAGGCGTGAAGTGGAAGATATTCCGCGTTTCGTCTGATGAGTGAGCGTCCCGAAGGCCTAATTTAGTCCTCTTTCCCTCCCCCTCCCTTTTCTTATAAGGAAAGGAAGGTAAGTGGAAGTGGACTTTACGGATGAGAGGATGAATGGAAAGGGAAAATATTTTCTATCTGTGCATCCTCTCCTCCGTCGATTAAAGGTAGACAACGACTACGCAATTGCGTATGTCTATGGGCAACGGTCACTATGTTATTTTAGCGATTTCAGGTGGCCACTCGCTCGTTTGCCACCTTATGATATAATATAAAAAAAATGTGTAGCAACATAAAATTTAATTTTTTTTGTATATAGTAAGTTCTATTAGATACATAAAGATATTAAAACAGAATAAACGTTGTAATATAAACATCATACTGTAGCATTTAGTACAACGCTAGAATACCAGCGCGGCGGCCTATCTCGGGGCCTTATGAAAACTAATGCGTTCATTTGGCGACTCGGTGACCGGCGATAAGCTATGTCATCCTGGTAGTTGGGATTACTTTGGGCCCCGGCCGGACTGATAAAAGTTTTAGGACTTTGTCCAAAGCTTTTATAATTAGAAATTGTATGTACAAAATTAACCACAATTCATTTAATTTTTAAATTAAATCGTAACTTAAACAATTGATTAGTAGGCATTTAACAACTCTGTGTCAGTTACAAATGTGTTTAAAGGGTAGGTTACTTTAAATTTAAACGAATTAACTTCAAATGAGTTTTCCCCAAACAACCAATAACATAATCTAACTTTAAATAAACTATAATTTAGATGGAACAATGCGACAAGTTCCGGACGGCACGGAGACCCCCGATCCTCGGGAATTAAACCTTAATTAGGGAAAAACGGAATTTATAGCCGGCGGTAATACCTCACTCGCGCCCACCTGCCCTTTGTTTGTTCTGCCTAACTGTACTGAACCGGGAAGGGGAAGCTGCAACTGATTTTTGGATTGTTTTTGTTATTATTTTTAAAACAAAGTCGTGCTTAATACTACGTAAAAGGTAAACACCCTGCTAGAGATGGATCTAGAATTCAAAATCTTTTGAAAAGTTTTTATTTGTTTATTCAGATATTGGAATTTTTAGCAAGACTAGTAGATATTATTTGATTTCCTTATACACTACGTTTTAAAACCTTTGTAAGTTCAACGGTCAAAGATAGTTGTGTGTAGTACTTTTAACAGTGTTACCTTTTACAGATATATGAATCATAAATACCGGTGTCTGTTTATTTTATAACGATTAGAAAAACAATCGGCACAGATAAAAAATGATGGATATCGACGCGCGGCCGCGTTCCTCTGCCGACCGCTCTAACACCGGCAACTATATTTACGTTTCGTTAATGGTTCATTTATTTTAACGTTATGCGATTTATTTTTCTTTTGTGTATTTTTATTTGCTTATTTATGTGGCAGAAAGGAACGTAAGTTAAAATTATTTATATGTGCGCATTTAGAAATTAAAACACGAAACGTTACCGTTTAGAGTTTTCATTATGCATCGCTCACAGAGAGGGCGCTGCTTATTCTTGTAACAGTTAATTATTAACGACTTCTCGTTGTTGAAAATTCGTAGAATTACAGCGAAGAAAATTCCACTCAACCCCTCGCTCGTTTAATTCGCTTTCAGGTAATTAAAATCTGAAAACTTAGAGCGAAATTAAATTTTACTTTGTGCTATATACTCGGGATTGTTGCCGCATTTCCCCGGGCCTACCCGCACCGGTCGAATCCGACGGACGTGTTCGGCGACCTAAATGGCCCTTTTAACTTTTCCTATTTAGAGGAAAGCGGGCGAAATCTCACAATAATAATAATAGTTATATCAGATATCGTACCAGGGTATCATGAGCTCGAGTGGCCCCGATTATCAGAAGGTATTTGTCGCTCGAGTGTATGGGCTAATAAAAATGGCGGACATAAGTTCCCCCGCGGCGTACGGGGCGGCTTGTACAGTATTATGTTAATGCCAGTCGCCTATCAATTACGTCGCGAAAGCGTTCCGATACACGCACCGGTATGTTTCGAATAACTTACGACTGCGCCCCCCGCGCCCCGCAACACGCACCCCGTACCCCTCACCTAGCACTACGTACCTCTGACTTCTGATAGCTGCCACTTCACATTAAATCAATTGTACTTCTCTTTATTAAAATCGTCCACCAATCTTATCTTCTTGATAAATCAAGTCAAGTCAGAAATCTGTTTAGTGCTTCATAGAATTGATTTTTGGTTTTTTAGACTTTTTCAGGGTAAAATGCCTAGAAATTTAATTACTATAAGATTATATTATATCTAAACTTTACATTTAACGCAATCTCAGAGGAACCCTGGCAGTGACTTCGTAGAGAAAGGAGCGTTTAAGATAAGTCAGACGATTCCCCTCAGATTGGGGCGTGCGCTATCCTATTTCATACGACGCTTAAATCTCATTATAATTAGTCGGATTTGCATATAAAATGCATTTATCATTAAAGCTCATTTTTTGAGTGCATTTTACGATGCATCTACAACGCATTATGTTTGTCAAGGGATGTGAGTGATAGCACTCTTACCGATATTTTTAAATTAAATTTAATGTTTTTTTTTAAATCAAACCCACGATGTTATGTGGCCAGCAAACTAGTACTAAGTAATTTTATTTCGTCTAATTTTTATTTCTGTTCATTTTCTTTTATAAAAAAAACATAAACAATTATTTCATTTAAAGATAAATAATCATTATAATATTTTTTCTATTCATGTCCCATCACTAGTATTGGCCATTTGACACTAGTCATGTTAACCCTTCGCCCGCCGCCGCCGCCGCCGGCGCGAAATTAACAAATCCAGAGTGTTATGATTTACGAGCCTCCGGTTATCAGGGGTTGGCCATTACGATACAAATAAAATAATACATATTATACAAATGCAAATTTCGCGTCGCATTCGAAGGATTATTTCATATCGGTTTGAACGCGTTTTGTTGTCTACATTTTGAATGCATTCAGATTTTCTGTTTATTAATTTTGTAATGCGTTAATAAATCATTTGTGATGTTATACAAATATGACGTAATCTTTTTGTAACATACCACATCTGCACTCTCATATGCATTTAAATGAATATTATTTAAATCTTACTAATATTATAAACGCGAATGTCTGAATGGATGAATGGCTATTTGTTAGAAGATATCTCCAGAACGGCTGAACGGATCTCCATGAAATTTTGCATATATGTAGAACATAGTCTAAAAGAACACATAATTACCTTTTTTTAAGTCATCGCGGACGGAGACGTGGTGACAGCTTGTTTGTTCTATAAAAATATTGTTTATACGTAAGAATGTTTTATAGATCTTAAATAACAATATTTTAATAACATATATGTCAATTGATTGTCAAAATTTTAACCGAAAAATATTTCTTATGGATATTGTTCAAATAAACGCAGACGTTTTTTATAAATTAGAACACAAATATTAACACAAGTTGTTTTACGATAAATTACGTTTGTAACGCTTCAACGTTACGACACTCTGTCACAAAATATATAATTGCGTACAATCTCATTACTTAGCGACATATTGTCGTTTAAAATGCACTGCCATAACAATTATTGCTGTCAGAATTAATACACAAGGCGATTTAGCAAATTCACCCTAAGGGTTGAGAAAGTTGGGGCCGTTTTTCCATCCCCCCTCCCCGAGGGCCGAAGCTGCGCTGCCGGATGAAGAGTTAATGAACTAATCTAGATATTAACAATACATTAGTCGCAACGGACGCGACGCCATGTTTCGTGGCAATTACCTCCCTTTGGGGATACAATCGTTGTAGGGTCCAGTGTGATCCTACCTTTCAAATTTGTTAATATTTTCATTAAAGATTAAAAAAAGTTTTGTTATAATTAAACAAATGATCCGAAGATTTTAGTTTAGTATTATATAGTTTAGTATAGTAATGAAAAAAGAAAATCAACACTTCCCGCAAATGACGATTGTTTGGCACGAAATTCGACATTTTTACTTGACCAGAAGTATATAATGCGAAGTCAAAATCACTCATGTGTCGCATCGGTTTGTTTACCACATGTCTAAGCTTGGTTCATGACGTTTTGGATATGTCAAAATCGACCAGCTCTTACTGCTAGAGCTATCTACTGATAAACAGGAGAACTTAGTTGCGCACCTAATATTATATTATTAGTTTTAGGATTAGGAAGATAAATATGATAGCAATTTCTTGTGTCTGTTTAAACAGACAGTCTTTAAAAATACGCAAATAACGTCATAAATTGGCATTTATTTTAACGATAAATCGATCACTTCAATTTCTTTGAAGTGCGTACGTTAATTAAATATCATAACCAATAAGCAATCAGTTGAAATATCGATAAAAACACACGTCGTATTATACGAAAAATAAATCGAATCACAAAGCAATCGGGATATCAGTCGACCGGCACCGGGACCCTGGAACCGGGATCCGTACTGACAGTTAATTTGGGAATGCACCGCCGCCCCCGGCGTTACTTATTCAGACGTGTTACTCCTGCCGGCAAGTAATTGCATGGATATTAAACTTTAATACTTACTCAACGACAACCGGGTAAAGTAAACTTCTTTGTCTTAAAACAAGGATAGCTCGCAAAAGGTTAAAATACATAAACATACCCCAAATATCCATAATAAGTACTTAATTAAAATACTTCTGTTCAAATTAAGTTTAAATAATATAAAACTACATACTTTCTAATGTTTTTCATGTGTTTATTTCTATATATATAAAACATTTGTTTGTTTGTCCGCAGGTTTATTAACGCGAGACGCAGGATAGTGCAGCCAATGATAGACCAGTCGAATAGAGCAGGTAACATTTTTCTTATACATCTATATGTTTACATTATTTAGCGTACGAAAATAATTTGTTTGTTACTATTGGTACCTACTACTGCTTACAATAATAAATATAGAACTTACCCGCGCATCGTCCGCGCAGAATTAAAAAAAATCTTATAATAAATATAGTCTACGCTACTTACGTATAAAGTAACTTTCTAATAGCAAACTAATTTTTGAAGTTTATCCTGTAATTTTAAAGTTCATTCGTTACAAACATACAAACCATTTATTCTTTAATATAGTGTAGATATAAACGTAACACATACAAAACGTAAAATGGCAAACCTTCAAAGTCTTATTGAAATTCTCTAGCGGCAGAGGCAACTTTGATGTACGAAATTAAGTTTCACTGACCGCATACGGCCCTGCATAATGCAGACACCTGAGCGTACTCGGACGTGTCCCGGAGGCGCTCGGGGCACTACAGGCACTACAGGCATTTGGTCAACACAAAGACACAGCTGCGATGTGAATAATGATTGGATCAAGGAAATTGCACCAAAGCTTTTGTCGCATTACCTCGCCCGAGCGCTAATTCCTACGGATTTAACTTGTATATTAGAAAGGGGATTTCGTTTTTTGGTTAGCTTAATAGCATTGTAGAGTATTTTCTTCTGCCAATCTGATATTTACATATCTCAGCATATTTATAAATTATTTAATTATTAATACGAAATTATAATATTCTAAAAGTGTTTGAATTTTGTTTTTAAAATTTCTTAATCCATGTTACCCATTAATCGATTTAAAATTATCGATACCTAATAATAATCAATAGAACATCACTATGAACTCGATCACATATCCGGCACATCGATCTTATCTCCCGTCCACAGCCGAGTTGAATTACAAACGGCCAATTCCATTTTTACTTTGTAATTGTTGCGCTCACTCCATAAAACGCTCCCGGGACGCAAAACATTCCGCCGCCAAGCGGGAAGAGGGGAAAAAAGGACGTCGCAGAAAAAGGGCTTACTCTTGCGAATGGAACGCAAGAAGGGTAAAAAAGAATAATGTCCGAATTCGTTGACCCGTCCCGGGCTATCCATCACTCTGCCCCCTCCCCCGACTCCTCCGATCGCCCTCGCCTCCCCTTCATCTCCCCCGGCTCTATCGCGATGTGTGTTACTTCGCCTATGAGAGGATTACATCTCTTTTTGTCTTTGAATTTTTTATATATCACACGATAGCAATTCATTTAAATTAACCGATGTTACATTGCCTTTCTAACGGGTAGGGTCTAGAGGACAATTTTTAACATCCCTAGATATAAAGACGGAATACTAAAATTTTACATCACTGACTTCAGTAACCTTAAAAGATTGTTTATCTATTTTTTTAAATGTCATCATCATCATCATGAGCTCACTATACGTCCCCACCGGGCTTAGAGCGTACTCTAAGTTAGGGGTGACTCGTGATTTTTTTTAATTTAAATCAATATTTCTGTAGTGTATTCATTACTTATTAGACATAATATTTTATTAAAATCCGTGTCATTGGACTGCAAATTATCTGTCCGCGAGGCACTCGGCGTTTTTAATAAACTGCACGAAGCGATTTAATCCGCGCGAAAAGCTCAATAAACGATCGCAGGAAATATCGGGGCGCGGCCATCGAACGAATTGTAATTTACAGGCGGCGGGTAATGGCGTCGCATCACACTGCAATTTATGCCCTTATAATAAATTCATTAGCGCGCCTCGCTACGTTCGCCGTATGTATGTATGTACTGACAGGCATGTTTGTTGAGTGCCGAGTTATTCCCGTATCGATGCGTCGATGACAGCCCTAGCCCTCGATACACACGCAATTAAACTAATAGCAACATTTTTCACGCCATAAATTAAAATAAAAAAAACAATTGAAGATATTTAACTTAGTAAATGGAGCAACTCAATAATCGATATTTATCGATATTTGTTAATCATATCGATACTTAAGTACCACACTATCTTGTTTCATTTTTGTACTCTATATTGTTCGTAAAAGCTACAAATAATATTCATAGAACAAGCCATAAAGCAAATTGATGCACCGTGCGAGAAGTTTAAAATTTCAAGTAAAACATGGTACGACAAACTCACTAGGAATACATAACTCGAAGTCCCGGCGATTGGAAAAGAGCTCGGTTTGACCACAGGAAATGCGGTGGCCGTTTTCTTTAGTCGATTGCCAAAACAATTTTCCATCTATCCTACCCTCCGGTTTTTCCATTTTCCGTCGTCGGCAAACTTGGCGGAGTGCGCATCCGCTCGGGAAATTTAGAATTCTCCCTGCTTTATGTCCTGTATGTTTAGTACACCGCTACCCGTCTGTCGCCCTGGTACTTAAGACAATGTGCTCGTACAAAATTTCATATATGTATGCATCGAAAATGAAATCAAGTAATATCCATGCTTCAATTTAACTTTGAAAACATCTTTTATGATAATTTTATGTTTCCTTTAGTCCATAAATATTTGCATTATATAAACAACTGAAATGGGTGCATTATTAAATTGTATATGCATTGTGTAAATCCATACCTCATACAATATATCAGTCCCTCGTATATTTCATTAATTAATATGTTATATTATAAATATCAATTCACTTAACAATGACAAACGCCAGAGGAATGACATGGCGTCCGTACGGACTTGATTAGAACTAGTGCTTCCTCGCTACTGCTCCAGTACGATACATTGACAATAACGTCAAGGACGTTCGTGAAGATTATCGCCTACTAAATCATAGTTTCCTGGTAGCGCGGGGTCGGGCCACTACCGACGTCCCGGGGGATCCTTTATTGTTTCCTGTCTTCCTAGTTTGAAAGTGGGATCTACGCGTCATCGGTCACACTATCCCGATCTTATTTTTCGTACAAATACCGAATTCATTTTATATCTTATGTTCTATTAAACAAAATACATATGAGTGAGATAATTTGTCTTTGTGCCAATAAAGAAAATTGTGCGCTTATTGTTTGAAAAAGAAATCTATTAACCCAAATAAATCCAATTCTAGGTTCATAAAAAAGAAAAGACATTATTCTAAAACTATCGTTAGTTTAGATGTACAAATTCCAATCCTTTTCTTAATAGAAATTTCTTTTACTTGAATAATATCTACAAATAGTAGGAAAAGTCACGTAACGACGTGAAAAGAATAGAAAGGATGGCATTAAAAAAGTTTTATAGAATTATTCTGAGTGTATTGACAAATTGTAGCGTAGAGTTTTTTTGTAAAGTCATTTCGAACAAGACATTAGACTGGAGTTGTGTTTGTTCGCAACTCTCGTGGGGCAATGGCGCGTGCCACCATAAAGACCCCACGACGAAGGCGGAAATCGGCGTCTATAATGGACGAACACCATTAGTTTACGATTGATAATCCCCGGGATATATTGCCACCGGAAGGCATAACAGTTTTGTGGTAAAATCGAGCGGCTTCCAATAGCGACGTCGGCTATTTTACGAATAACATTTTTTTTCTTGCACAAATTTTTCTATGTCGAACACGGAACTCAATTAACAATACTGACATTATTTATCAAATGCTACGTACGATATTATATTTTATTATTATTAAATTGTTATAAGCAAGTCTTTTAGCATTGTCAACAACAGCAGGTCTAATTAACCGTTCAGTGTTCTACCCGGCAGTGTTCCCGCACGCGGGCCCGAGCGGCGCGTACAGCCCGGAGGCGACGATGGGCTATATGATGGAGGGGCAGCAGATGATGCACAGGCCGCCCACAGACCCCGCCTTCCACCAGGGCTACGCGCACTATCCCGCAGAGTACTACGGACACCATCTTTAATGCACGCGACACTCTTGTACATGTAAGTATCAAACAAAACCACCTGTTTCTCACTTTTTATTTTATAAGCTGGCAAACGTGCAAGCGGTCACTTTATTCGCTAAAAAGGCGAATTTACCTCTGCCCACAGACATCCACAATAGCAGATACTTTACCTACCTAAAATCGACGGAGAAGGAGACGCACGGATAGAGAATAATTCCCCTTACTGCATGCATGTCTTCTGTGCGGTCTTGGTATTACCTACCACTTGTCTACCACTGTTAAAGACGTTACGCGAGTAATATAGCGGTTATTTACATGTGTATTTATTGTTTCAGATTTGTATAACACGGCGCTAGGTGGAGCGTCGCGGGCGGCTGCGGCGACCCTGCTCGCCGCGCCGCTCGCCGAGCCGCTCGCCGCGCGACCTCGTGGCACGAACAAACAGGAGAACGATGCTACATGTACATAATGCGATACGTTTTGTAATATTGAAACAGTATACGATCTCCTAAATTAAGATTTAAAGTCAACTTTAATGTTTAAATTAATGTAAATGATGACGCGGAGTGACACGGACGCTGTAACATAGTCGACGGTGCAATCACCTACATATAAATAAAATACGATATCATCACTCGGTATGATGTATGGAGCAAGGAAATGTAACAATAAACCCGTTTGATTGTTATCGTATAAATATTTATAGCTAATTGTGTATTGTTATTACGTAAATATAAATAAATAATTAAATAGTTGTAAGTTGTAACTATCATTGGATGTACCGGGGTCGATAGAGTGGGACATTTTGTTTTGTAAAGGAGTTTTTTTTAATATGTAATAGAATATTATAGGTTTCATTTTTCAATTTCATTACATACTTAATGTTGACGATGACGACCAAAATATATGAGTCTATTTAAATTTATTAAGCAATTTTATTCAGTAATAAATTTTCTCACCGGTCACATAGATTTGCACAGGACTTTAGACATCAAAGACGTAACGTCGCAAATAAATAGAATTGCGCCTTTAATAGACAAAATAAATTGGGTCACACTAAATTCTTATAAGAGTTCTCCGGCCTGTGACTTGTTTTTTTCATTTACTTATAAATTAATTTATCCAAATCTGTGACCCTAGTGAATTTGTGAGCTCAAATATACTTCTATATTGAACGTCAATTTCTCGGAACTTTGTTTCATCGCCCGCGCTGTAGTTTTGTGATTTTGCTTTACAGGTCGATATACATATCTTTGAATTATGTATATATTATATACATACATATATATATTATATATTTATTATTATGATATTGGAAATGGAAATATTGTAGTTTCACCTTGCCTTGGTGTTCAATAATGTAGCACAATTTGTAACCGATGTATACGATGAAAATAATGATATTTTACAATGTTAAAGTCGATGAGATTTTTAGCTCTATTTTGTGTCGATAGATGGCGCGGTTCGTCTCGGACGTAACGAGTACCTGTCGTCGCGGATGTTCAAACCTCTTTGTAGTGTGAAGGCTACAAAAGATATATTTTATTTTATTTGTAGCCCTTTTAAATGTCATACATATACAAAGCGAGGTTTGTGAGATTTTTCTTGACTGATAATCGATTGAGCTTCATAACTCGAATTGAAATCCGCTTTTAATGGGAGCGGCCATTTTAAGCCTGAAGGGATAAAAACGCGGGCAAATCCGTATGTTATTAATTTAGTTACATTTAAATCTATGTTCTATAACTGTTACCTTTAGTTTGCTTTAAATACACTTTAGATTACTCCGTTATCTGTGCATCTGTTGTAACAAAATGGCCGTTCTCATATTGTCTTTGCCCAAAACCAAATAAAACGTCAACTGTCAGATGTGCGGGACAATTGTGACAGGAGCTGTCAATTTTGGTTTTGGCGCGTCTTGTCTATTAATATAAAGGTTACGTGGATTGCTTCTTCTTTCACAATTAACTATTAATTATAATTAATTTCACTTTTGATTTATTGTAATAAAAAATGACCAATGTCTTTTTTTACAGTTTTATTTTACAATGTAAATTGTTTATTTAAGTGGTCCACTGTAACTTTTATAAATGTAATGCTACGCATTACAAGCCTTAGCCATGTATACGAATGGGAGCTATAATTGTCAAAATTGGTCCTAAATAGCTATGATATAAATTAAATAGCGTTAAAAAGTTATCCGAGATCAAGCTTTATACTAGAAAATAATTGTAATATTTCTTTCACAAAGTTATGCGATGCGGTTGTTTATTTTAGATTCTTGATTCTTTATATTAGATATAATAATTAATAGTAAAGTAAACACTATTATTTTAAATTGTTTGTAACAATGCAAATGAATTAAACTCGATCAATAGATATGTCAATTTTGTTTTTTATTAAATAAATACACTTTATAAATCTTAGTAATTTATATATCTATAAACAACCTTATCGCATCTAATAATACTTTGGATATCTTTTTGTTAATTCTTTGTAAATATATCATCGAATTGAATCACTTTCCTTTGTATAAAAGTCGTTTGTTTCCAGTGAAGTTTCAGTATTAAAAAAAGGAAAGATGTTTGAACTATGAAAAACGGACTTTTACTTTTGAAACGCTGGTCTTTGTTAATATTTCCCTATTATTATTATAATTGTTAATTACATGGCGTGTAATATATTTTATTAAGAGGAAAGTCTTAAAGTAGCTGTTAGGTATTAATGTATTAATTGGAGAATTTTATTTTGATTTTTCTCTTTATATGTATTATACATAACGTTTGAAAGTCATGGAATTATTGTACATATAGCCTAAAAACTAACGAATACATAAGGTCGTCTCGCAGCGGAACACATCAGCTAACTCTCGAAGTAAAATATTAATTATATATTTGTATTGTGTTTTATTGGCGAAGGTACATGTAACATATAACGAGAGATATGCGATTGTCCTGTTTACATATTAACTGCAATCAGCACGCTGTCGAGACGTACTGTCAGGAGGGATGTGTCGGCATTATGAATGCTACGAATTGTGTAAAAAATATTAAAAACAAAAAAAAAACTTTTCGTTTCATTTCACTCTTAGAACCCATTTACCGTGGGTTCTTGAGACCGAAATCTCTGTATAACACATATTGATGTCTCTCATTATCTTTGACAAAACAGATATAACAATATGTTTCATACGGAGGTTTTGTTTTCAGAAATCCATGGCTCGTACATCACATTTAAAAACAAACAGTACTGAAGAAAGTATTTTTTTAGAAACATTTCAAATATCAAATGATAGTGTAGTACAAAGTGATTATTTTGTTTAATAAAACACAACCAAACACGTCTTATTTACAAATTTTACAGTAGGGGAATTAAACTGTTAAAACACATAAATAATTATAAAAATAGTAGTTCTTAAAAAATTTGGTTACAAAGAAACACATCTTTAATAGCCAACAAACTTGAGCTGGCAAAAAGTAGGTAGGGAGTTGAGAACAAAGTAAGTGTCTTATAACGAGAGGCGGGTCGTCAGGTGTGCAAGAGATATCACCCCTTTTAACTTACTAGAAGAACAGATGCAGCGGAATAACTCTTAAAGCCCGACTATAAAGTGCTGATGCATTAAAACTACCAGGAGTGCAGGAACATTGTTAATAAAGTTCTAAGTATGAAGTTTTCATTTCATCCATAACTTTAAATTATGTTAATAATATGATTCTTCAAAGTTGCTCAATTATTTAAAAAAAAGAATATTTAATTTAATTTATATAAATAATATAATACTAATAAGTTTAAATTAGCTATAAATATTAAATTTAAATTAAAATACCTTATCCATTAAACAGTAATTAAAGTACAAAGATAGCCGCAATCGCAAACGGTGGCTACGAGCTTGCAGCTACAGCGTAGCAGCGTAGCGGGCGTGGCGCGTCGAAAATGGCGGCCGACAGTGAGTAATGGCACGCCGGGACGAGTCCAGTGACGCGTGCGTAGGGCTGTCACTACTTTTGTAAATATTACAATATTTATTAATTTTACGAAAATCTGTAATTTCAAGAAAATTAAATTAATGCTTATATAAAGTTTAAACGAAGAGTTTAAGAATTAGTGTTATTTAGTAAGTCATTAATAATCACCTACATAAGGTTCTCAAGATGCTTGTAACGCACTTGACGCATTCGAAAGGAATGTCTTTTCATAAACTCCTTTAGATTTCCTAATTTTATCATATATCATTTAGAGTCGCCAATAAACTTTTCCGACTTTTCATAACTTTCTACATTCTATATCAGTTTTTACTCTATTGATCTAAAATAATTCTATCAAATAATATAGTATATATATGAAAATCAAACAGAACAATTCATCTCAAGCGCCAAGTTCGGGCATCCCTAGCATTTTTTCCTACAACGCAGCACTGTAAGCAAGGCAGCGATTGTATCGCGGATGCTTGGAGCGGCACATTTGTCAACCTTAGCCTCACCACCCCCCCTCGCCCCGCGCGCCCCACTCCGCACCGTGCCCCCCAGACTCCGAACCCCCCATAACAAAAGAAATGCGGATCCAGATGAAACTAAAGCCATGTCAATGTATGTATTCCTAGTAGAGATATTTGCGAGCACTCTTTGTGTATGAGGATATATTACAGTCTTAAATCATACATAATTATGTATGAACGCTATCCTTGAAAATAAAATAAAGGAAAGTGTAGGAATTATTTATAGCATAGATATCAAATAAAGAAATAACAAATTCAAAATACACTTTTAATCATGATCCTAAGGAACTCTTTTCCTAAGTAAAGGGGATTGAACTGAGTAAAAATCTTCGACAGTGTCTGGGTAAACATAACTTAAAAAGACTCTTGAGTTGATTTATCTAGAAATAAAGTAAATAAATTTATTTCTTGCTTACATCCGAACACATAATATTTGACGTAAAACATCACACAAGCCTCTTTCAGCTGATCGTATCTGGCGTCTACGAGGGGAGGTCTACGTTCCCGAAGATCGCTACAACAATAAATCTTTTCAGACAATTATCTAATAGCGCTTAGATCCGTTAAATTAAAGCAGAAACGCACAACTCACCCTTCGGGGATGATTGCAATACGAAATCTCACGATCATTGTATAGAACAGTACATGAAAATTACTGGTTTTGTGTACTAAAATAAATACACATAGTACATAAGTACATACGTACATAAGACACGTAAATAAGAACACTTTTGAGTGCAGAATTAAACATTCAGCCAAAGAGGTGGCATACTGGCCACTAAGAACCTTTGCCTTTTTAATTACAGAAAACTATGGGAAAAAAATAATCGCGCGGGAAATATGTGATTGTTTGGAAGTGTCAATAACTTTGGTTATGTCACGTATTTTTCCTGTACATTTTGACACAATTTATAAAAACAGATCATTTAGTATGGAGGAGTAAAAACATGTTTAACAGAAGTGTTTAGACAATGTAAACTAAAAGTAAAACGTTCATCCTCCAATCACTGGGCTATAACGCAACTGTTACAGTATCAGTACTGGAGGCCGTTTCAATTTCAGCGTAGAGCTAATATAAGAGGGCCCGCGGCGACATGTTTATTGGTTAATTAAAGTTTTGCTTCCGCGGAAATAAACACAGAGCACGGACCGACACGATATACTGCTGTGTGACATTCAACTAATATCCTCTCACTTCGGTTTTTATATTTACAGTTTTTAATCCTATTTTAAGGAGTTTTATTATAATAAATTTTGAACGCAACACCGTTCACGGAGAAAAAAATAGTAATTAGTAGCCTATGTGTTTTTCCAGATTATGTTCTACATATGTTACATATTTCTGCAAGATCCGTTAAGTCTCTCTGAAGCTACCATCTAACAAACGTATATCCATCCATCCATAATATTAGTGAGAATCAAATAACAATTGTTATTTAGTAGAACGAGATAAATCGGATTACTAACCTCTTATTTTGTGTAAATTTCTACAAAGTCTACACTTAGACACTTCCTTAGTGATTATACTAATCGACTATGAGTACAGCTTATAGACCTATAATACTTACTATAAAGGATGGCGGCGATGCAGCAAAATGAAACACAGTATTTTCAATATGGGTGCGCACTGTACGTTCGACGGACGACATTCGACTGCCCAGAGCCGACCACCCTCCAAATTCACTTTATTTTTAATATTCAAAAACTACCAACTATATTTACATCTACCTTGGTATAAGTTAGTAGTTTACAGATAACAAATAGTAGTTATTGAAATGATGTAGAATATAACATAATAAACATTAATACAAAGAAAATAAACAAAATACAGTGCTACAATTTAGTTAAGTTAAATTACAAAATATATTGTGAAGGCTTTTAAATTCCATCGTCAACACCGCCCCCTAGTGCTGACTCCTCAGCACTCCATACCTATACCTCAAGCAATGCTAATCTAGTAACTGGACGCTTTAACACGCCCGTGCGCGTTCGCACATCAACGCAACGCACTCTGCCGTCCTCGCCGGCATGGGCCGCACTCACTACGCCATGCCTCCATGACCCGCGTTCTAATTGAGGATCGACTACCAATACATAATCACCTACTGATAATGCTTTTGCCTCGCTATTCCATTTTTGCCTAGGTAATAATGATGGGAGATATTCTTTTAACCAACGACTCCAAAACATATCTGTAAGCCTCTGTGCTACACGCCAACGCTTGCCTAAATTACAAAGGTCACCGTTATCGTACTTACCATAAGGAGTTCCACTCGACGATGTACCTATTAGAAAATGGTTAGGAGTTAAAGCTTCTGGGTAATTAGGATCTGTGGAAACATGAGTTATGGGTCGGCTATTGATTAAAGCTTCCACTTCGCACATCAGAGTAGACAAAGTGTCGAAATGTGGTGCTCGTTCCTTGAGTACAACCTTCAATGCCGTTTTGACAGAGCGAACCAATCGCTCCCAGGCGCCACCCATTTCTGGAGCACCTGGAGGAATAAAACGCCATTTTATACCTCTTACCAAACCGTCGTCCTGAAGACGATCAAAATTCAGCTCTTGGAGACTGCGCTTAAGCTCGGCATCTGCACCTCTAAAGTTCGTTCCATTATCAGAGTACAAGATCTCAGGGGTACCTCTGCGTGCAATCATCCGCCGTAGGGCCATTATGGTCGCATCGGTTGACAAGCTCTCGGATAATTCTATGTGCACAGCTCTGATAGTTAGACAAGTAAATAAGACACCATACTGTTTAACTCGTTTTCTACCTGAGGTGATCTCCATCGGTCCGAAAAAGTCAACGCCCGCTGAGGAAAATGGACGCCTGTGGTGCTGGGGACGTACCTGTGGTAGGTCTGCCATGCGCTGCTCATGTGGCGCTGCTCGTCTGTGCCGGCAGAACAGACAACGTGCCGCGACTCCGCGGACTGTGGGGCGTAGCCTTATTACCCAATACTTCTGGCGGATTTCGTTAACCACCATCTCGTTCGCCCCATGCAGGGCTCGTCGATGATAATCCTCGACGATCAGTTGGGTAATCTTGTGACGACCATCAACTATGACTGGTCTACATGCGTTGTAACTTACCCCGTCTGCCTTGTCAACTCGACCTCCTACACGTAAAATGTGCCGTTCATCCAAATACGGAGTTAATTTAAGTAAGCGACTATTCTTAGATACACTTTTCTTTTGCTTGAAAGAATCAATTTCCAAAGAAAAGCTATCTGACTGGATTTTTTTTAATAATAGTTCTTCTGCCCTTGACATAAGATCTACATTAAAAGTTACGTTTCTTCTGCGGCATCTATCTACAAACATAAGTACTCGGGCTGTCGAGCGGAGCAATCGTTTCCAGGATGAGAACCTTTCTTCATCTGGTAAACACGAAGCGAGGTCAGTTGGAGCGCTAGCACTGATAGTGTTAACACTACGTTGCTCGCAAGCTACCTCGTCGTATATTTCTTCTGAGCTGCATAGGTCTGCGGGCCAACTCACCTCGGGAAGTCGGAGGTATGCTGGTCCCTGGAACCACTGGTTGTCAATAGTGAGCGGTGGTGCGTCCTCACGCGTGGCAACGTCTGCTGCGTTCAAGCCTGTTGGTACGTACCTCCATTCAATGACTCGTGTCAGCTCGTCTATCTCGCCCAACCTGTGGGCAACGTATGGTTTGAACGTACGTGGATCGCTTCTGATCCATTGCAGGACAGTTTTAGAATCTGTCCAAAAATACCGTCTAGTCGGTGTGATGTCGGTGTGCTCCGTCCGGACCGTGCTCGCCAAACGTGCAGCTAGCAGTGCTGCTTGGAGTTCCAACCGGGGTACGGACAACGGTCGTAACGGGCTCACTCGACTTTTGCTTGTAACAAAACAAACAAACACCTTACCATCCGTGCGAATAAATCGCCAATAAACAACAGCTGCATATGCCTTCAATGAGGCATCGCAAAATATATGCATCTCGGTGTTGATTATTCGATCAGGATCACCTGATTCTGTTTGGGGATAACAATCAGACCACGTACCTGTGTTGTTGTACCAACGCGGGATACGAAGTTGTGCTAATACTTTTAAATCGTTAAGCCATTTTAAAAAACATTCATAATCTTTTATGTGGATAGGGCAATTCCAGCCTACTCCACTCCTATGTACATTTTGTAAAATTATTTTACCCTTTATTGTTATAGGCGTTATAAATCCTTGCATGTCATATACAGACATAATTAAACTTAACATCTTGGCTTTGGTTGGTGGTTCACTACCATTAAGTACGTTATCCGATAAGCGGTTAAATGAAATGTTAAATAAAAATGTGTCATCTGAGGGATGCCACATCAATCCTAATGTGCGCTCGACTACATCTGTGGCGCCGTCTTTAAGTTGAATCGCGCTGTTAGCTAATGACTCATTGGGTAAACAATCTATTACCTGTTTACTGTTGCTCGTCCAACTGCGCATGTTGAAGCCGGCGTGTCCGTGAATTTCAGTAATATTTTTTATTAATTCAATTGCCTCACCTATAGAAGTCGTTGAATGTAAACAATCGTCCATGTAATGATTATTTAAAATAACTTTAACTGCCTCTGGATATAAATCTTCGTACATGGATGCATTTTTATTTTTGACATATTGAGCTATAAACGGTGAGCACGTCGCGCCAAATATTAAACACTGCATAACACAAACCTTGATCGGAGCATCGTCGCCAGCATCGGGGTCCTTCCATAAGAAACGAAAGACATGTTGATTATCAGGGCTTATCTTTATACGTAAAAACATATCCTTTATGTCGCCGATGATAACCACTGGATGTGTGCGGAACCGCAACATTATTCCAAACAAAGAATTATATAAGTCGGGACCTGTTAACAAAAATTCATTAAGACATAAACCACTGACCTTAGCTGCTGCGTCGAACACTAATCGCAACTTCCCAGGCTTATTAGGATTCTGTACACCAAAGTGTGGTAAATACCAGACATTACCCGATGACTGCTCGCTGCCTTTAATTTCCCTCGCATAACCTTCGTCGAAAAATTTTTTAATCTCTCTGCTGTACCTGTTAGCATAATCCCTATTGTTGTTAAACTTTTTGTTTAATGAAATCATTCGAGACAAAGCATTATCGTAGGAATCAGGCAAAATAAATTCGTCACTCTTAAATGGTAAACAAACTTCGTATTGTTCATTTACTTTACGAAAAGATTTATCTAAAATATCAACCGCACGAATGTGATCTTTATTCTCACGGCGTAACGGCGATATTCCAATCGAATCTATGGCGAAAGATTTTGTTATTAAATCGTTAAGCACCTCGCCGTCGGAGTGAGCGAGATAGAAGATACTACGCGTGGCGGGAGTGTGAGTGCGACCGCTGTAGCCGTGAATAGACCAACCTAACTTGCATCGAGTTGCATAAGGTTCATTTTTGCTGCCACAAATTATTTGTAATGGTGCAATAACATGATAATTATCTTCGCCTATTAACAATTTCGGAATTACATTTTCTTTACAGACATAGCCCTTTATACATGTTAAATGTTTACAGTTAATGTTATTTATAACAGACAAATTTTGCATAGGTAAATTAAGCTTTGAAACTTTACGAAATTGAATTTTACAATTATAAAAATGATTACTATCTGTACTGCTAATGTCCGCCGTAACCTTAGGCGTGTCCGCCTGATACACTTCTATACCGAATGCGTCGACGAATCTTACCGCACTAGATTCGCTAGCCACTAGGCTTAACTGGTCGGCTAGGTTTGCGTCTATCACTGACACCGAGGCGCCATCGTCCAGTAAGGCATGCGTTATAAGTTCAACTCCGGACGGACCGCGTAATTTTACTCTCACCACTTTTAACAACACTTCGTCGCGCGCTGCTCTGGATCCCGCAGCTAGGTGGGCCACCGTGTCCACCGGGGCGGACGACGGCGACTGCGCCGGCGGGAACTCCGGCGGAGCGGGCGGTGCGCGCTGACTAGGCGGCGCGGGCGAACGCGGGCGAGCGGCGGCTCGCGCGTCGGCCGGCGCGTGCACAGCTGGTTTATTAAAATGTAATAAGCGATGGTGTTGAAGTCCGCAGTTATCGACGTCGCATGGCGGTGCATTGCATTGCATGGCGGCGCTGTGCCGTCGTTGTAGACAAACGAAGCAAAGACTTTGCGATTTTATAAAGTTCAGTCTGTCTCGCCGTAATGCACGCCGAAATATTCGACAATCCGTTAATTTATGTACGGATTTATTACAAAATTTGCATATATCATTGGCGTTATAGTCTGTAGTACTCAAGTTAAATACATTGTGTCTTTTTCGAGTCTTGTTATCTATCTGTTGACTGTTATAATTATCTAACGGAATAGTTCCAACGCTTAGTAATATCTGCGATTCTTGTTTTAAAAATTCAGCTAATAAAGTAAGCTTAGGTAAATTTTCTAAGCGTTTGCTGTAAGCATAGTCTGTCCATTTACTAAGCAAAGTGCTGGGCAATTTTAATATAACTGCATTTATTAATTCTGGACTTCTTAGATATTCTTCTTTATTCAATGCATTTAATGTAGCAACAGAATTAATTATTTTAGTTGAAAATTCTATTAAGTTGCTTTGATAAAATAAGGGTAATGGTGGTAGCTTCTTTAGCCGTGTTGTGATTGTGTGTACAATAAAATCAGAGCGTCCAAACCTCAGTTCCAGCGTGTCCATCACCTGCGAGGGCACCGTGTTGCCGATGAGCAGGTCTGCTACCGCCTCCTTGGCTGCGCCGCGAAGCGATCTTCTTAGCCGCCACAGGTTTTCACTGTTACTGAACTGACATATTTTTGTGGACTCCTCGTAAGCGTTCTTGAAGTGAAGCCACTCAATATAGTCACCGTGAAATTCGGGAAGATCTCGTGGTGTGGCGAGGCGACTCAGGAGCCTGTCCTCTCGCTGTGAACTGATTTGGGTCATCATCTCCTTCAGTACATGTGCCAGTTGTTGGACGTCAGATGTAGCCTCCTGTGGAAGCTGCTCGGTGGTCAGGAACGTCGGATAGTTCCGAGCCCGTGGCTCGAAGGCTGCACAAGGTTCACCTTGGCTATGGTCCAACCATTCCCTTACACTTTCTCTCGTACGCTTGTCTGCAACAAACCGACTTTCGGTGACGTCATCGGCCACCTCCTCCTCTTCCAATTGTGCTAGATCTGCCTCCAGCTCCTTGTTTATGAGCTGCATACGTATCTCGGCCTTCGCCTGTTCAGCTTTTAACTCCAATTGCTTCCGTCTAGCGATAGACGAAGACGAACACGATCTCCTCGCTGTTGCCGATGTGAACGTGTTTGCGCTGGGTGGTCCCTTCGGTGTCTCCTCCTTAGCAGCCTGGGTTCCTCGCGAAATAATATCATCGGCTCCACGAGGTGGCTGATGTGCTGCTTCCGGGGCAGGGTCCGAAGCAGACGCCTGCTGCTGTCGCCGCGTCGTTGGCATCGTTTACCGTTTAATCCACGCGAAATTAATAAACAATAAGCTCCACGGGATGCAACCAGTTCCAGATGCGGCTGGAAGTGACCAAAATTATAAAGGATGGCGGCGATGCAGCAAAATGAAACACAGTATTTTCAATATGGGTGCGCACTGTACGTTCGACGGACGACATTCGACTGCCCAGAGCCGACCACCCTCCAAATTCACTTTATTTTTAATATTCAAAAACTACCAACTATATTTACATCTACCTTGGTATAAGTTAGTAGTTTACAGATAACAAATAGTAGTTATTGAAATGATGTAGAATATAACATAATAAACATTAATACAAAGAAAATAAACAAAATACAGTGCTACAATTTAGTTAAGTTAAATTACAAAATATATTGTGAAGGCTTTTAAATTCCATCGTCAACACTTACCTTTGAGTCTTGAATTTAATTTAATAAAATGTTCTGCAGACTAAAAGTTAATGCCATAACTGGAACTTCAGAATTGTTTACAATAATAACACGAAAATTATTATTTGTTACCAACTAAATATTATGATAGTTTTGTAATAACTACAGGTTCGCGTCACCTGTAGTACTAAAAACAATAAGGCGAGATCGCAATTTATCCAGCGACTACCCCTCTACGGGTAAACTTACCTCCTCCCACCCCCATTACAGCCAGGGGCTCGTAATTAACCTCATAACGAACAACTAGCTACTAACAATAAATTAATTACATGACAATATCACGAGGCGACTGGAGTTTTATACTGTGTTAAGTGTTACATATAAAATAAATCATGTTTAGATATGTCTCAGTTGCAAAGTAAGCAATTTTACTTCCTCGCTCAGTCGTTTGTTGATTACTTAAAAAGTTCCTTACTAAATCCACAATAACCGTCTCCCTTAGTGACCTTTTAATACCGAACCGGCCGGACTGGCATTAAGACAGGTTTTAATTATGAGTAACGATATAAAATTTAGGTTATTAGGCTTAAATAAAATTAGTAAGCCATTATATTTTTTTACTAATGTGCCTTTGGGATTGTTGTCAAGAAATTGAACCCTTAACGAGAGCTATGTAACAGTTCAGTTAAAACTGGGATGTAGGACAGGACGCCGCACGCACGGCCGCGTGATCGCTGCCTTGTTGTGAATCATACGCAACATTAGATACAGGATGATCTTTTTATAATTCACATTTATATTATTTTTATAACTTTAAAAATATGCAATAGGTAAACGAGCTTTTAAGACTTAAGAAACAACAAAAGAGAGATTTGTCCAGCATTAAACTTATTAAAGTCAATTTAGCGCTTCCATTACATTTCGTACTTATTACGTTAGTTAATTACAGAGGCGAGATGTTAAATATCTCGTTTAAAAGTTCATTACCCATTGAAAATACGAGCAACGACCCGAGACACGACACGACGACCTTCGACAATTAATTTACAGCAAGCATCCGATTACTTGCGGTGCGCAATCGTAATAAATAAAGCCCGCCTATATTCGATGCCGAAGACGCGCCGGTCATTTCAAAGCGCGCCCCCGCGGCGCCCGCGCGCCCGCGACATGCGCCTACCAGGCGAGCAGAGCGCAGCGTGAGCGGACATTAAAACCGCTGATACTGCTATAAATCGTATTTTAAAGCTCCCTTCACCCCCCGGCCTGCCGCTGCACTCCTAGTCCGTCCTCAGCAACTATTTCAAGTTAAATGGACCAAATAACTGCAGTGATGGCGGGCGCTGGACGCTCGTCCGCCGTTTTAACGATTTTTCGCTAGGAAATTTCCGTTTTCGTTGGAGTTATTGTTATTGTTTGGGTACCGCAGTGCGTTATTGCCATCTTACGATATTAACTTCCGTTACGCTCGACATCGGCCACCGGCCATCGGGTACACGCCGGCGAACGATTAGTTCCTTCATAAATTTACTGATCCGCAAAACCTTTTCTTCATGGCAAACATCTTATAACTAAGGGACCAATGATCCTTATAATCTTTAATATAAAAATTAAGTTGACGGAGACAAACAATCGAGCAACTTTCGTGTTGTAATAAATGTAATAAGCGACCACAAAACAAGAATTTCCTATTTCCAAACACTGCTGCTGGGACAGACTATCTCAAACTAAAGCTTAATAAGTCTCAAATGTACAAGGATAGAAAATAGACAAAAACAGAATGAAATTATATTAGTATGCATTAAAATCTAAAGAGGTTAATTCTAACACATTTGTTAGGCGGCTTGCGTTAGATAACAACGCGCAGTATACGTCACCGCGACCGCACGTGTAGATCAGTGGCGCGAGGCTAGCGGCCAGCGGACAATAGTAGCGAGTTCGAATCCATCACGACGGGACAACGTGAAAAACGTGCCCGGCGCTCGCCGCCGTGTCACCGAGTCGCGGGACCGACAACAGATAAAGTAAAAAAAATTTAAACATGGAATTAAAAAAATCTTGTTTAATATCGGTAGAGAAAATATAAAGAGACCACATCGGTTGAAGTTTGGCATAAGAGAATTAAAGATTTATTAAATAAAACTTCTTTGCTTAAGGAAGCTCATATTTGAAATAACCAAAATCATGTATGAATAACAAATTAATTTTGTTATGTATATAAACAATAAAATTTCAAATTACTTTGTTGGAACTAAACGATAGTAAAAAAGTTCTGCTAACCGTACCGCGGACAAACGTGGCCGCTTTCCGCGTGGACGGCGCCTGAAAAATTTGAGTGGTGACCGCGACCCGTTAGTTACGCTAGCGCTCTAACGCTCCTATATCTGCTACTGCTGCTATCCTGGTACTTTGATACGTTATTTAACTGCTGTAGTTAACTCCTGGTTAATGTTTAGTTTGAAATAAATATATGGCTAAACTAATCTTGTTTGTGAATGTTATTTCTATTTTGTTTTTTTTTTACTTTATTAATTAATTTCGTACACATGACATATTAGTGTTGGTGATAATAAAAACCCTTTTTTTAATTTTGTCAATATGTCTGTCCGAGAGACCGACTAAAAGGAAAATAAGCTGATGCACGCGGCTATGCTGTTTGTTTTTATTAATTAAATTTCATCGTTAGTTTGTATTAATTAAATTTCAGATTTAGTTAAATAATATAATAAATAAAAAAAAATAACTACCAGGCGAGCATAATCAACTTACAGGGCATTTACTAGGAACGCATAAACAACAAGTGTGCAAAAATATTTGTCAAAAATTATTTTCACTTCGCAACTTTTCGTTTCTTCGAATCTTTTTTTTCTAAATATTCAGCTAAAATATTGTTTAATTAAGCAACATTTATGATAGTACATGGGGGATGGAATACATACATAAAGAAGAATCCCAATTCCTTTATTACCTCATTTCGATTCCGCCAGTGACGGCCGCGTCAATATAAGAAACAGTAGATAGATGTCGCCACTTCACTTCTCCTACTCACTAATGAAAAGTGCCTTTGAAAGCCTTAATTTACTGCCTGCGAAATATAAGCCCTTTATCATATGTGTGT